ATCGATTCATGAACCAAGCAATCGAGCCTTTATGGATACATGTAGGGTCTCCAGCAAAGACGATACAAGGCTGCCTTATTTCTGGCTTGACAGTCAAATCAGTGAATCTGGCTTGGCCGGATTATTTCTACTTCCTTAGGTAAGTCCTCTACTTTTGAGACACCTATTCCAGTCCTTTATTAATTTATGAATAATCTTGTATATGATAATACGAATAACAACAATCACCATAACCTTGGCACTTCATCCACTTTCTCCTCACAATCAACTCATTACAAACTTACAATTTTAAATATCGGGTCTCTCTACTGCCAAGTTATCCGCACTCGAAAAACGTTAATCCTTTGTTCGCAGCCTTCGCCTATAATCTTTGGATATTCTATCGCTCCAAGATACAAGTACTGAAGATGACAATACTCAAAATACTCTTAACCTACAATTTAATTCTCAAAGCACCGTTTGGACAAAACGTTGCGGTGTGGTGAGCCTCAATCCTCCGATTACGGTATCGTCCACATATATCACACTAGACCAACACTTAACTGCATGCAAGGGCACTCATAATCGCCGCATGTTTGAACCTTTTGCCATGGTTACTATCTACACTACCTCAACGTACTGCCAATCGTACGGTTTTTCAACAAATTCTTTCATTGTCTCCATTTTTATCTCTCACTTTAGAGACACTCGCAGCCTACTCTACTCAAAGCCCTCTTTCTCGGATTCTTCTCGCAGGGGGCTTTAACTATGACCTTAACTGCAACATTAGCTGTCGTCTGCAGGGCTAGCGTGACATGGTTCAACAGCATTTTTTAATTGATTTGACACCAATGAGAACGGACTGACCTTCAAAAACAGTACTAGTTCTTCTACCGTTGACTATTTTACCTCTCCAGCGTTATACTCTCCATTAGTTTCTACTATATTGAGCTTGTATCCAATATATGGATGGATCACGCACTGTTGCTGGCTAATTTCAAGCTTACATTTCGTATACACGGTAAAGAGATACAATATATTAATCCTCACTTGACAAATAGCCGTTTCTTCATTAACCCAAAATTTGGACCAGCTGTTACAGACACCATCAGGTGATTTGTCACCCCAACTACTTCGGGGCAGGGTCAAAGCGAAAGTGAAGCAAGTGGCCATCCAGCTTAGCCGAAAACACAGTCAATGGCTACAGAACCTACTGCCCGCCTGTCGCAAACATATATAGCTGCATTACGACATCAGAAGTCAGAGGAGGTCTGCAGCACTCCCAGTAGTCTTCAGGTCGCTGATGTTGCTTTCTATGAGCGCTTGTACACTCCTCAACGAATATACTTATCCTCCGCTAAGGAACTTCTGCGCACCATTCCACTTGCACTGCGAATTATCACGGCACAGGGTGACCAATTAACCCGACCTTTAACTCTTGTTGACATACAAGAAGTAGCCAAGCGTTGCCCTAGCAATAGTAGCCCAGGTCTTGATGGGATTTCCTATCAAATTCTAACAATCGTATTCCTTAATGCAGCTGCCAGAGGTCTTGCTATACAGGTTTAAAATGACGCCCTCTTTCGTAGTTGCTTCTCTCCTAGTTGGCAGGAAGCCTATATGACGCTGCTGCCGAAGAAAGGAAAACGTCACTGACCTCAAGAACTAGCGATCTATTGATCTGATTAACACAGAAGCCAAAGGGTTTACCCGTCTGATCAGTGCGCGGCCCTTGCCCTATATGAACCGTTTAGTATCTCCATATCAACTGGGATTTATGCCCGGCCGTTTTATTGGCGAAAATAGTAAGCTTGATGACCTTAAACGCCATGGTGTTCCGTCTGCATCATGAATTGCTTTGTTTTTACAATTTCTAGTGTCTCTCATTACATCTTCTCTCCACTGGCCCTGGCATATTCATTTACATGCAACAAAAAAAAAAAAAAAATTCAGCATTAGTCTCGCTTTCCTTTTTTATATTTAATGGTTAAGTTGTATAAAGCAAAAGTAATTTAGATCTTCTGTCGTGGCTTGTATTTGAAGTGCACCCAAGTGCTATCTATAAATTAAACGCGTTTTCTTATGAAAACTTCTCTTGTTTCCATGAATATGATTAAACCACTTCTCGAAGAAGGTAAAAATTTCAATGACAATAATTTTGTTTTTACTTGTTCCTTATATTTTTTTCTAGCTAAATCCGAAGATATTGCAATCACATTAAGTTCTTGTCTAGTTCGTGAATGGACAAATATGAAAATGATTGAAAATATAAGCAGAGAATTCAACTTTGGAACCGAAAAAACTGCCAAAGAAATTATATTGAAGGAATTGAAAACCTTTTGGAAAGCAAAATGCAATATTAATAAAAATACAGCAACGGCTGTTAAAAGAGCCGGACAGCTGTATAAAACAGTGTCACTTGTAGTCGAGTCTGATCCAATATTGCTTATCATCAGACACAATATTGAGGAGCAGAAAAAACCTATTCGGCAGCAAGGCAGAGTTTCAATCAGAAACAGAATTATAGAGCAGGGTTACGAGGATGCTGCGAATAGTTTGTCTTGCAATCACGATAGTATCGCTTCAACAGACGAAAACGACTGTGCTACCACGCATGGTGAAGTTGCACAAAAAAAGCACAAGCATTTGAATTTAAAATCTTTCAAAAAGCTTGACAACAACAATAAGTTGATAGAATTGAACAAGTTCTAGTAAGTAAAAACGTGATTATCACATACAGTAAGTTAATCATATTTTGTAATATTCAAGTGGAACAAAAGACGTTCTGAATTTCACCAAGACTTCTTCACTTCCAAAGCGGTTTGCAAATGATGTGCAGCATATCAAAGAAACGTACGGTCTAACACTACCATTTATATTATGCAACGATGAGTACAGTATACTTAAAAAATTAAGTCGCTGTCATTCGAAAGAGGATTTATATCATGTGGTAGAAAATATTAATCCTTTTTCGAATGAATCGTGCCTTCCATATATAAAGCTTGCCGTACAAAAACTGTGAGTACAATATGTTCACCAAATCATTTGCTTCTTTTGCTTCATTACGTTAGTTTTTTTTAATTTTCTTCTTTTAGATGCAACTTGTACTACAATAAACTACTACTCAACAGCAACAACAATGAGGCTTGGTATAGATCAATCGTTTATGGCGATCTCTTTGACTACATATTTGCAGTCCAGCCATACTATATCACCAAGAGGTACACAATATACATATAAGTGATTTATCTTAGTATTTTTTTTAGATCTGAGTGTCACTCTGCAGTCATCAAATCTATGAAGAGATTAGGCTTGGTCGAAAAAGATGAACACGATGTAAGACTTGATTTTATATTCACAAATATAGCTGTTGCTGGTCTTGGTGATGCCCTTTTTTGCGAGGATAAACCAACCGATAAAGTCTCGAAAAAGGACGAAACAAAAACCTGTCACTTGAGAGAAAAGTCCTTGGTCTATTGGAAATCGCTACTTCCATACGATGCTTGTCTGAATCACTTGATGGCAATTTCTTGTCAGTTTAGTAAATTAAAACTGATTATTACTGGTACAAAAATCGTGAACGGCATAACAATGCACTCAAGATTGAAAGAAGTAAATATACCTTGCTCAGATCAAAGCGGTGCCATGTTGGCAAACTATTTGACCACTGTAATATCATTGATGGTAAGGAACTTAAAATACATAATTTTTATTTTTTTTGTTAAGAAAAAAAAAAATGATAGAGGACTGTCATTAGGAACTTCAAAGTGATCGAAACGATTATGGATGTTGTTCAGGAAGATAATTTAGTTTTCTTGTCCTCTAGCGCAAACGAAACGTGTTTCCGAGAAGATTCTGATTCAAGTTCTGAAGGGTCAATCGTATCACCAGCATTACCTAACTGGGAAGCTGCAGAAAGAGAGGACAGAATAATGAAAAAGATAGAAGCCTCCATCAAATCACTGAACGAGACCGATGAAGGTAGATACGTATCATCGTTTTGGGAGGATGTTGCCTTCAATGCAGAAATTTAAACTTGCAACATTTGCCTATCTTTATGTATAACCAGAAATAAGAAATAGTTGTTGTGTTTTAACGTTTATTAAATTATGCAATTGAAATAATGCAAGGAGCAAAAGAAGGGTAATTGACTTGAACGTTTATTTAATAAAATTGAATATTGCTGCTTTGAATAATTGCCAAAAAAAAAAAAAAAATAGTTACAGATAGCTAACGAAAAGAACTGTTGTAATAGTCGAGTACATTTATCATCCATAGTTTTTTATACATGACAGTGGGTCTATAAAAAAATTAGTACCAGTGTCAATAAGCAAAAAACAAACATGAAGTCAAGAGTTCAAACATTCGCTCAAGAAGCTGGAGCATTCCTTCCAAGCATAATGTGCCCCAAGAAGGTTGGCAGCAAAAAGAGACAACCC